AGGAGGAGGAGGAGGAGGAGGAGGAGAAGGAGGAGGAGGAGAAAGATAAAGAGAGGGAGCAGAAGGAGAAGGAGGAGGAGGAGGAGAAGAAGAAGAAGGAGGAGCAAGAGAAAGAGGAGGAGGAGGAGAAGAATAGGGGTGGATAGACATGATCAATGTACAATATAATTAATACTATTAATTTATACAACTAATAACTGTTAATAATAATAAAAAGGTAAAGGAATTGTTTGCATCTCAAAGCAGACTGGTATCTTTTATGAGAAAAATCAGTTCCAATACCAATAACAATTCTATGGCCAACTGGTGAAAATCAGAGCTAAGGTACTGCCACTTTGCATGCTTTCAGTAAGGTGACATATCTCCTCTCCCAGTTTTAACTTGTTCTTCAGCATTCTATTGCTCCACAGTGATGTTTAAAGGAAATAAGGAAATATTCATTTCTTCTCCAACCAAAGGGAGCTCTGTGTTTACCTTTCCTTGTTATTGAGATTCCACATAATAATTTTGTTTGAAAAAAGGCTCTGTTAAAAATAGTCTGGAAGTTTGTCATGCCATGATGTCCCACAATTAGGGCTATTTCTATAAACAGGGATATATAAAGAGAGATTGATATTTCCTTCCAATTAGAAAGATACCTAATTGGAGAATAGTATGACTTATGGTTTGGATGTCAGGTGTCACCCAAAAGCTCACATGTGAGAAATGCATCAGAGAAGAAATGATCGACTTATGACAGCCTTAACTCAATCAGTAAATTAATCCCCTGATGGGATTAACTGAGGGGTGACTGAAGGAGGGTAGATGGGGCTGAGGAGGTGGGCATTGTGTACCTTCCGAGGATTTATTTTGTGTCTGGCAATTGGAGTCTTTCTCTCTCTGATTATTGATCATCATATGAGCTGCTTCCCTCTGCCACACTCTTTCACCATGGTGAGCCCTGAGGAATGAAACCAGCCTTCTGTGGACCGAGACCTCTAAAGCTATGAGTCTCCAAATAAACTTTTCCTCCTCTACAATTGCTCTTGTGGAGTCTTTTAGTCACAGCAGCAAAAAAGCTGACTGAAATAATGACATAAGGCAATTTATTTTAATTTCTCTGAGTTTCAGTTTCCTCATCTGCATACCAAATAATAACCCTGGTCCTTTTACAAAGTTAGGCATGCAAAAGACATAAATTTGTTTATTCTTCTATAGTTCAACTTAATTGCTATTTTATCAAGATGACAGTAGTGTAATATCATCCATTTTGAGATGCTCCTATTTTTTCATGACTGTTTCAGAGCTATATCTACTGGCACAGCTTCATTGTGGGTAGGAGGGAATGGGGGCAGGTATCCAGTTTGTGATGATGGCACACACTGTGAAACCCTTTATCCTTTGTGATCTTGCGTGGTCCTTCTACCCACATTGCACCTTAGGCACCCCTTGCTTCTATCTGCAAGTCCTTTCAGCTCTGATGGCTTTTTCTACTATTTTAGAGTGCTAATCCTCCCTAGATATGTCAAGTTATTGAAGGGACAACCTTGGCCTGACTATTCTAGATATGAGGTATTACCATTTGGTGATTTTTGTCTTGCCTAAGCCTACTCTGCATATAAAAACAAATTTAAATATTTTCAGATGGTGTAATTCGAGGGGTTTTAATAATTTGGGGGGCTTGATCCAAAGTGTAGAGCACTGAGCTTCATAGTTTTGGGAACAGAGCAACATCTATGCTTCTATCATTTCCTCAACCCAATCCATAGCAGGTAGGCTGCTCTAGGGTATGGGGATTTCTTTTATCACTAAGGATATTCCTCCATTGATAGTCTACACTGAGTGATTTCTGTGTCCTTAAGAGTCTTGGCTATTGAAATTCAAAGACAGAAAAACACTGTTTTTCTTTTTTTCTTTTTTCCTTTGTACTGTCACATCTCTTCCCTGAGGCTGAATCGTGGAATGTGTTAGTTACCTCTTGACCAATGGAGAATGGGGGTACTAAAGGAATAGAGAGACAGGGGTCTCATAAAATATGTTTCTTCAACTAGATAACTATATGTACCTGTAATGCAAAAATTATAGGATATATTAAAAATAGTTTCAGTTACTTTTGCTGAGAATTTACTCTATGAGGTTACCTTGCTAAGCACTTTCCAATACTCCTAAAAGGCAAATCTTTAATTTACCCATAATAAAACTTAGAGATATTTAATTGAGACCACAGAGTTAATAAGTGGCAAAACTGGAATTCTAGTACAGGTCTATCTTACCTTAACACTTTTGATCTTAATCACTTTGAGCCAAGACTTGGGATTCCACAACCTGGGTCAGAACATTGAGTTAAGCAGACAAAAAGCTGTGAAAGAAAGCAGCAAGGAATTGACAGCAGCCATCAACCAGGCCAGAATTTACCTTGTGGTAAAGAACTGGCACATTATTAATCTTCACAGCAACATTAAAAAATTGTTACTCTCATAAAATTCATTTTATAGATGAGGAAACTAAGGTGTCAAAAGGATGTGAACTCAAGAAGTTGGGCTCTAGAATCCATGTTTTTACCATATTTTGCCACCTATTCCATAAAAGGGGTAAGATGCTAGTGGGTACCCCTAGGAAAATCCTGCCAAGTGGTAGACAAATGTAATAAAACTTCTGCCACTCCTCCTGGGACCTTTATATCCATGGCTTCTGTGGCCAAAGGCCAACCAAGCAAAATTGCATACAGTGGGGAAGATAATATTTCATCCTCCTCTAGGTCAGTCGGTTCTCAGCAGCATGCTTTCTGGTTTGAGATTTGAGAATCTCCAGATAGACAAACTCCACAATCCAGCAAAGGTCAGTCTAAATATTAGCCATATAAACAATACCTTCACCATAAGCACAAAGATGATTTATATCTCTCAATTCATTTTTTTCTCCTTCATGACAGGGTACAACATAGATAACAGAAAAAGCAAAGAGTCAAGGAGCTTCTGCAATCCCTGAGGCCCTACTTATCCAAAAGTTGTTTTTCTGACTATTTGCTCTTATATCCCTTTGTAGCCTGACCCTTTCTTTCCAACATTGCCACATGCTGAGTATGCTGTCTTTCTTTATGGTTCTGGCCATTTTCTTTGTTGCAGTTGTTGGCCTGTGTGTATGTGTGTGTGTGTGTGTGTGTGTGTGTGTATGTGTGTGTGTGTGTGTGTTTGAATATGTATTTATAAAAAGATGACACCTTTGTTGCAATTTGCAAAATAAAGACATAATGAATGGAAACACATTTTGATTTTCAATGCGTTGGTTTCAGGTTAACAAAAGCATGTTGTCCATCATAAGTATGTCATTACCTGGAACTCCATCTCTGCAAATTCCTCCTTTCTTCACCCATGGGCAGCTGCCTGCATGCTGCAATTCTTCTCAGAAGCTCACAAAAGAGGAGAAAGTATTGTTGAGAACTTCTTTTGATGGACATCAGTGACTACACTCAATCATAAACTGTCCCTACAGTCTTTTGTACTGTTTACATTCTGTAAAACACAGCAATGCAGTAACAATCTTCTGATTCTTCAGGTAGATTTCAATGCTGCTTGTTTTTTTTTTTCACTTAATGGATTTAAACAGAACTTTGGTAAACTCTATAATTATGTTCATTTACTTTCTCCCTGTTTTCTTTTATTACTAAGTTACTGAGTTATGATAGGTGTGCCATCTTGGACAATGATCCTAGATGCTTGGCAGGGGCAGTTATATACCTTAGTCAGAGAACAGGTGTTACTATGAAAAATAATTTTTTTTCTGCCATAGGCTTTTTGATGGGGTCTAGTTCTCATGAGATCCTCGTGATTAGCTACTCACGTTATCTTGTCTCTGGGGCTAATGCTTATTCTCAAATTGGCATCATCTGTTGTCGCGACCCCCCTTGCCCACAAGGAAGACGCGACTCAGGAATCTTCTTTCAGCAGTTTATTCAGGCCCTTGATATTCTTCTAATGATTCTTCTAATCCCCGGAATAATAATTGGATGCCCCTCCCAGCCTTAATAAAGCACCTCGAACCCCAATGCAAAGCTGCCACGTGTACCCTTCTCACAGGGTGCCAGAAAATGACACGCCAACTTTCTCTGATAAGGAGCTGGGAACACGCCAACTCTCTTTGATATGGAGTTGTCCTTCACAGACCACAACGGAGCCAGCGCCATCATGTAATGGCGACCACAGTCCGCAGGAACGGCTCACCACAATCTGTTTTTAGCCCCTAGTATTAAAGAACTTCCAAATAACTTGAATATTGTTCTCATGCAATCCAGTTTTGCCTGAGATCACCATTCCCAAAAGATTCACTATATTCAAAGCAAAAGTAGAAGGCTTGTTTGCTATTATGACTGTCAATATACCTCTGCCATACAACATATATATTACCTATGCTGAGAGAGTATTTAGCCCAAAGCTGAGACCCCTTTTTACCCTGAGTTATGTCACTCATTGTATGGATGGTGTTGAGCAAGTCCCTTGATCTTTCTGGATCTCAATTTCTTTATCCTTACAATGACAGTGTTGTTGTACTTCAGTAACCTCTAAGAATCTTTCCATCTCTCAAACTTCTCTTATTACATTTGGAAACCTCAGTAACTTTCCCCTCTGCATTTTCTATAACTTGCCTTTAAAAATCTCATCTGGCTAGTATATCATATGTTGGCTCAAAAGAGGAGTTGAGGAATCTATTCTGAGGTTCAGACGTCTAGCAGGTGCTAAGAACACTGTGGATTGTTCCATATCCCCCCACTACCAGTTGATACTGAACTATATTAGAGAAATTGCCCAGAAAACCTGAGTCTTTCTTCTTCTCATACAATGAGACTTGAATATTGATTGCATTCAGATCACACTAGAATTGTTCATCCATTTAAAGAAATGTATACTCTTCATTTTAGAACTCTGTATTTTTATTTCCACTTGAATTCATCTGCCTTTTCCCAACAGATACTATATTTAGTCAGTTTGTGGAAACTAATTTTTGGTGTCACTGCACATTTGCTCAAGGTATTTATTTATTTTTAAACTACAATAAGCTAATATTTCCTAGTGAAGGATCCTGCTTGAGGTTTGCTGATGCGACTGGAGATGCTGGCAGGGGAATTCTGGATCTCTTGACTTAGCTTCCTGCTGAAGACTTAGGATTCTAAATTGCACAGATAATATCTCTGTTCTAAAGTCTTAGTACAAATAACTTTTCAATAATTAGTGAGGTTTTATCACAGGCATAAAAACATTGTGAAGTTATAAAAAACTCTAATGTTATTTTAATTGCCTTTAAATTCCCCTTGGGAGTTAGATTTTCATAAGGATACACCTTATAATAGTCACAGTTGGGAGGACACATCTGAGTCCAGAAAGGAAAATCTTGAAATTCACTTATATCTTTCACTTCCTCCTATTTTCTGTCCAAATCTTTATTTACTTTTCTTATGCATAAAGTCATATTTGAGGGCCGCATTAGTTTTTTGACAAGACCGTCAATGGGAAGTCAAGTGCTTACCTTAAAGAATAGCTAGCTGAGAGACAGGTAAGAGGCGGTTGAGAGGCAGTAGCCTCCATCAAAAACCTAAGTGATGGGCACATATGGGGCAAACTGCATTCCCAAAATGTAGGCAAAATTTGCAGTTTTGTCAAAGTGTCAGGAAACATGCAATTAAAATTTTTCTTCAAGATGATTTTCTTTAAATCAATAAAAATGTGATAGAATTATTGAAGCCCCAGTTTCTTTGGTTACAGAATATTGGGAATGCAACGTTGAATTGTCCAGGAGGAACCAGGCATCTATTTCCAACTGATGTGAAAGGACTTAGCAACTTCCAGTTACACCTTACACACAAAACCCCACCCTTCCTCCACCAGGGAGGCTCCCTCAAATCTCATGGTCACAGGAACAATCCTGATCCCACCATGTGAAGCCTCCCATCTGTCCCCCTGATCCTGGACTACACTGCCCCCTGCATGCATCCTTCTGTCTCTACCTCTCACTTCCCCTCAGTGCTGGACCAAGAGAAACTGCCTACAGGAAAAAATGAACAAAGGCATCCTCCCCTTACCCATGACTCTATTTTTTTGTATATGCCAAATGTAGAAATATCCTTCAGGGCAATATTCTTGCTTTTAGATTAACACTGTTTGGCAAGAGAATGACCTGGACTGAAAACATTAGAGGTCACCTATGCCAAATTTCAGTGCAATGTTCTTCCCTTCCCCATGTCTAACCTGCAATAGATTTCCCCAGGTTATGTTATGTCCAGCCAGTTGGACCTTCCAATGCTCAATAGGAGGAACGGTAGATGGAGGGGGATAATAAATTGCCCAGATATTTGCAAAAATGTGTGGGTGCTAACTTAAGTTCTAACTCTTAACATATTCTCCTGAAAAAAAAAAACGGGTAATTATATTTTATGGCATTATGATTTAAATATCAGAAGTACATTTTGTGGAATTCAGAAACTTCAATATTATGGCTTATGTAGAATTTTCAAAAAAATAATGCATTATGAGTTTCAAGCAACTATTTTACACATAACATTTAGAGAAATACCTTTATACCTTTAAATTTTTTTTTAATTGTAGATGGACAGAATGCCTTTATTTATTTTTATGTGGTGCAAAGGATTGAACCCATTGCCTCACACATGCTAGGCAAGCACTCTGCCATTGAGCTACAGCCTCAGCCCATCTTTACATCTTTTGTAATATAATGGGGGACAAAATAAGCAGTGGTAAAAATAAAAACAATGTTTGTGGCTCAAGTATGCAATTGATACATAATTCATGTTTTCTAAAAATTAACATAATATTTTAAGTAAAAAACACACAAAGAAAGATACCTTTATGTTACTTCATTTGTCTTTCAAGCTGGACTTAACGTATTTGCTGGAAAGATGTTGGTTGCAGACTCACATAAAACCTGGCATCATATATCATATAGCTTAAGAAATTTGGGCTGGGGATGTGGCTCAAGTGGTAGCACACTTGCCTGGCATGTGTGCGGCCCGGGTTTGATCCTCAGCACCCCATACAAACAAAGGTGTTGTGTCCGCCGAAAACTAAAAAATAAATATTAAAACTAACTCTCTCTCTCCCTCTCTCTCTCTCTCTCTTAAAAAAAAAGAAATTCAGAGTTTTTTTCCTACTCATAAAATAGGATATTTGTATTATGTGGTTGTTGATATGAGTTCAAATATTCAATGAGGTAAGGGCTAGTAGCTCCTCACCTCCTTTGTTTGTTTCCTTGTAGTTATAAAAGGGATGCTAATATACTAAGTGTTACATCAGTATTCAGGATAGAAAGCAGTGGAAGAAAGGAAGAGGGAACACCAAGCCTTTCTGTACTTTTTATAAGAATATCAATCTCTGCCAAAAGTCACTCCTTTCAGTGACAGACTCCCATTCATGTTTTCCAGTCAAAATGGTGTCACATAGCCAGTGATCTCTGAATGCAAAGGAATTTGAGAAGGTGAATATTTGAATATTTATGTTCTTGTAGCCACTATAGACGAAATGATGAAGAAGCGGGGCGAAGTTAGATAATTGGCAGGGTCCAACTTGGGAGATATTTAACCATCTAATAACTTAGACCTGGCAGAATTTTGTCTATGCAGGAATGCCAAATTGGAAATTAAGAAAATCTAATTCTAGTTCTGGCTTCATTAATCTCTGGTTTTGTGATCTTGAACAAGTCACTTGATTATGTTTTGCTCTTGATAACTGACATGCCTAGAGATACAAGATTAAGTCCATGGGCTTTAAATCCCCTCCTGAATGCAACACTATAGGATTCAGAGACCAATATGATTATACATAGCTGTGTTAGTCAGCTTTCCATCCCAGAGAGAAAAAAAAATGTCCGAAATATTCAACTTATAAGGAAGAAAGGTGTATTTTGGCTCACGGTTGCAGAGGTTTTACCTGAGCTCATTTGATTGGATAGAGTCTGTGGTGGCACAAAACCTCATAACAGGAGCACATGACAGAGGAAGCCTGTTTTCCTCATGGTGTCTGGAAAGCAAAGAGAGAAGAAGAGAAGGGGCTGGGGTTTTATTATCCCTTTCAAAGGCACACCCCTAATGACCTAAAATTCTTCCACTAAGTTCTACCTCCTAAAGCTTCCACCACTTCCCAATGATGCAATGCCATGATCAGGGGACAAAGCCTTCAATACATCAGTATTTGGAGGACAATGAAAATCCAAACTACAATGGTGTTGTGATTGATATGAGAAAAAAATTCAGTGTCCTTTCCAATAGACTTCTACGTTTTTTCACAGACATAGATGAGAGATTCTAAGAAATGTTTGGGGAAGTAAGGAGACTTTGTCAAGGAGGTACAGAGATGGTAATTTTTAGAAGAATAATACAGCAGGACAGGGAGTTCAAAAGCCAGGAAATTCTTCCATCAAATCACAGAGGTCATGGAAAAAAGTCTGAAAACTTAGTCAACTTTCAAACACCGTCACCATATATACACTCCTTTTAAGGAGAAATGTCTAAAATATTTGGTGAAAGGGAAAGGAGGAGGGCCAGATCCTTACTGAGAACTCCAGCCCCTAGAACACTGGAGATGGTGAATACAAATCACAACACTGCTCAGGTGTCACCAGCTGTATGGTCCACATCAATCTGGGGAAAACCTTGGCTGCGATATGAATACAAATAACACAGGTCTCCTTTGTTTCAGGTTGTATGGACCTGCACACACACAAAAATACAATCAATAATTAGTATCCATTCAAGTATGTTTTATGGACTACATGAAAAATTAAAAGTACAAAAGCAAAAATATAGAAGTAAATTGGGAATGAGTATTATATTATAATAAGGATATTTTGTTCCATGTGAAGTAGCCTCTAAGCTCACTTAAAAGAGCAAAAACCCTAGGTTTTATGTCCATGAATACAGACGTAGTTAATTTGTTAACAGAATTGGAGATTGGAGGTTGATTGGAAAGGTAAGTCAAATCACTCCCACTTGACAGTTAATGATAAAAGTGAAGACTGAAGTGACCTGTAATGATAATGTTAGGAAAGAGAGAGATTTTGCATACATAATTTAAAGGATATGTCTTTTTCAGTTCACTTGTCTAGATGATAAATCTGGTTCTTTGAGGTGAAAGTGCATTTGGGTATCCAAATCTGCTTCGTTATTCCTTCAGTGTTCTATAACACAAGGATGTGAAGCATAGTGGACTACCACAGAGATACAAAGGGTGAAGAGGTCACCTTTCCATCCAGCAAAAATTGTGTCTCAACATATTGAGGAATATTTCTGAGTTATCTGTAGCATCAGAAATCTTCTTCAACACATCTTAACTTAAATTACATTGGTTGTAGTTTAAACACATCCCTTTAAGTGAAAACAAAAAAAAAAAGGATTGCGTAATTTCAGACATGAAGATCTCCCTCTTAGTGTGATAGAATATTTTTGGAAATATTAACCACTTTTTTTCTCAGATATACTTTCTAAGTTGGTTACTCTTACAGTTTAAGCACCAGATAGACAATCCTGAACCTATCTTAAGGAAAAAGGAAATTGTTTCCTGTGATTTCAGTTTTAAAATCCCTATCTATTTCCTTTAAAGGATTCAGGGTGTATACAATGGATTTGGAAGGACACAAATGGAATTAGAGCATGGCTTCCACATTACAACGAACTCATCCCAGTCAGAACAGGTTGAGGGTAAGAGAAAAAGACAAAAAGAAACCAGAACAGTGTGTTCGTTCTTACCTTTCCATTCTGTGGAATTCAGAGAATGGCAAATTCTTTCCACCTAATGGATTCAGGGAGAATAATATTGTATTAAGTGGAGTCCCATGAAAGGTGGGGAATATCTCACAGAAGAAATTTTTTTTGTCTTGTCTTAGAAGATATGTCTCATAGAGATCTTATGTCCCATCATAACTTAAGAACAGCCAAGGAGTTCTTGAGTACAGAGTATATCTGGCTGAGAACAATCATGTCTGGGTTTGAAGACCCCTGCAGACTGGAAGTATCAGGACTTCATATGCCTGTGGGAGTTTCAATAACTGTCATCATACATATATATAAGAAAAGATGGAAGACCAGACACTTGCTTTTCCCACCTTGACATTATGTTTTTAAACAAAAACATTAAAAAATTTTTATGTATATTGGATTAGACTATACTTTGATCGCCATGAATTTGAGCATTTAATGAGAACTAAAAATAAAAGTTATAATCTTTATAAAATTTGAATGAGCAAATGAAGATTCATGTTACACTTATATAATTTTTTTTTTTAATCTTGGCAAGCATTTCCAGAATGACGGAATGTACACTTTCAGAAAAACTATGAGGATCTGGACAAAGATTGGCAAAAATCAACATTTTTGGACAATAACTAAAGGTTTGCAACAATCCTGGGAGCATGAACTCAAGAGAAACAGCTGAATCTCAGTAAGAATAGCAACTTTGCACTCTTTTAACTGATTCCAACAACCTCTTCTTCCCAGCTCTGTGATAGCCTTGAAACTCAGCAGTCTTTCAACTGTGGCAGCAGTGACTACCAGTAAGGCAACAACCACTTGAGGAGGCAGAATACATTTGGAGTATTGAAAAAACATCTACAACTTCAGAGAATGCTCATTATTCAACTTTCTGGCAATTCTGGCAAAGCTTAATTCACAGGGACTATTTTTAATTGATCTGATTCAATCCTATTTGATGGCAAATGCTCTTTTCCCGAGGTGTTTGTTGAAAACAATAATTGACAATACTTTAACACTGCCGTCACATGAGGTAAAGATATCAGTCAAAGTAAACAAAAAGACAAGTCATAAAATCTAATAGAAAATTTAAGAAAACTGGATGGATATCTGTTGGGGTTTTTGAAAAACTCCAATATTATTCCTAGGACCACAGACATGAGCAAGGATACGTATGGGTACCCATTCAGGAAAAACTGGAGAATGACTTTATCTCTCACTTCTGACTCTAGTTGGAGATTTGCACATAAAGAAAGAAAGGCTAAAAGAGAGTTGTAATCTATTTACATGTTGAAAGTGAACCCAATAAATATATTCTACAGAGGCTAGAATAATAATTGGTCTTGGGAATTTAAGAAAACCTACACCCAATAATTAGCTGATCACTAAGCCAACTAACTTCAGTGACTTCAGATATCCTAGAATATAAACTTTTGAAAATTAGTTCAAGAAAGTTACAAAAGAGTAAAACAGAAACAAAATAATAAAAAACCTCAACAAAAAATGCCAACTGAAAATTGGTGTCAGATTGATGGATATAACACATTTTATTATTTAAAATGTCTAGTTTTAGGGGTGGGGATGTGGCTCAAGCAGTAGCGCGCTCACCTGGCATGTGCAGGGCTCTGGGTTCAATCCTCAGCACCACATACAAATTAAAAAAAAAAAAATGAAGATGTTGTGTCCTCTGAAAACTAAAAAATAAATATTAAAAAATTAAAATTTATTTTATTAAAATAAAATAAATGTATAGTTTTAAACTATAAAAATATAACACATAAAAATAAATATGAAGATATGGCTCATACAATGGGGACAAAATAGTCAATAGGAATTATTCCTGATGTTAGAATTATAAAATAAAGAGATTAAATTGACTGTTACATTTTTTCAAGAAATTAAAGAAAACCACATGAAAGAAATTAAATGAATGCACAAGAATACTCTCTCATAAAATAGGAAAGTCAATAAAGAGATAAAAATTGGAAAAGAACCAAACAGTAATTCTCAAGTTGAAAAGTATTACCAATGAAATAAAAAGTTTACTAAAGTTGTTCAATAGTACATTTGATTTTGCTGAAAGAGAATCAGATAACTCAAAGATAGGTTAATTTAGAATATATACTCTGGTTTGGCATGGTGGTACACTCCTGTAATCCCAGTGGCTTGGGAGACAGATGTAGGAGGATCACAAGTTCAAAGCTAGCCTCAGAAATTTAGGGAGATACTAAATAACTCAGTGAGACCCTGTCTCTAAATAAAATACAAAATAGAGCTGGGGATGTGGCTCAGTGGTTGAGTTCCCCTAAGTTAAATCTCTGGTACCTGCCCCCATCCCCCCCAAAATAAAAAGAATATATACTCTGAGGAAGAAAATAAACACACGAAGAAAAATAAACAGAGCCTTGAAGATATTCATGACATCCCTGAATGTATATATATATATACCAGAAGGGAAGTAGAAAAGAAGAGAAAGAAGATATGAACTTCACTCAAAAACTTCCCCAAATGATTTTAAATGCTACTAAACTATATATACAAGAAACTGAATAAACTACAATAGAAGAAACTCATTTGGATATGTCATATTTAAACTGGCAAAATTCAAAGACAAATTGAATTTTGAAAGCAGTGAGATTAAAACAACTCATCAAGTATTAAGGTTGACATCTCATCAGAAACTATGGGACCCCCAAAACCACAAGACGATACACCAAAAGGAGCCTTTAAGTTGGATTGAATGAACACTAGATAGTTAAAATAAAAATGAAAATTAGAAAATCTCTAGTAAATGTAACTACATAGAAACATGAAGAATGAGCATTTTTCTTATAACTATTTTCTTCTCCTCTGTGAGTTAAAAATGCTTAATAGAGTGATTAAAATAACACTGTTATAAGATATAAGAATGTTATTTATAAGATAATAATAGCATAAGAAGAAACGAGATATTTGTAAAAGAAAAATTTTATGTTATTAATATTAATCTATATTAGTTTTTTAAAACTAGAATGATAAGTATAATTCTCAAGGCATCCACTAAGAAAATATATTTCAAAGAGTTGACATATAAAAAATTAAAATAGTTTACTACAAGGATATTTATTTAGTATATAGAAAGCAGTAATACAAGAATAAACTAACAAAAGAAATGAAATACAAAAACAAATATCAAGAAAGTAGACTTTTTTAGTACTTACATTAAATGTAAATGTATTAAACATTGCAATAAAAAAGCAGAGGTGGTAGAACAGATTATTAAAAAACATAACCAACTATATGCTGCCTATAAGGGACACAGTAGATCCAAAGACACAAAGTACAAACAAGTAGAAGAAAACAGTACATTAGTCAGTTGAAATAAGTAAAATATAAATCAGAAAATTAATGGAGAAATTCAATGACTCTCTAAGAAGAAAACATAGGAGTATATTTTCATGATCTTGAGTAAGACTAGGTTTCTCAGTTATAACATCAAAATCACAAGTGACAAAAGACAAAGCAAACTAAATTTAATCCATATTAAAAACTTTTGTGCATGAAAGCACGGTATCAGAAAGAAAACCCACCAAATGAAAGGAAATATTTGCAAATTGTCTCTCTGATTAAGAACGTGTATCCAGCATATCTAGTAAATAATTTGGACACAACAATAGGTAACATAAAAATGGGCAAAAGACTTGAAAGAATATTTCAGATACATACACATACAAATGCTCAGAAACATATAAAATCAAAAATATTAGTTACTAGTTTTGAAAGAAATGCAAATCAAAATGAGATAGTATATTGCATTCATGAAATGATTAAAATCAAATTGATAATCAGTACAATTGTTAATGATATGGAGAAATTGGAATTCTCGTATATTGCTGGTGGGATTGCAGAATGGTGTGGCTACTTTGGAAAACAGTTTGAAAATTCCTCAGAATAACAAATATAGAGTTATTATATGAC